ATGCACCCTATAGCAAAAACCTCTCCAAAATAATAATAATAATAATAATAATAATAATAATAATAATAATAGTAATACCTGCCCTCAGGAGGTTGCGAGGATTCAGGGGTATATACCACAGGAGCCTGACATGGTAGACAGTAAATATAACTACAATGATCATTGTTCCATCTGAAAGGTGTTTCTGAGGAAGCATTTGTTGGGACAGGCCTCAGCAGATCCAAAGTAGAAATGCCTCCAAATTTGAAACCCTTTTCAGTTATTTTTCCTCAGCCATACTCGGGAAGAGCTGTTACTGACTCTGCCTGTCTCTGTCCCTGTCAGTCTTTTGGCAGGTGGAGGAAAAATGCTGCCCTGGCCAGAGATGAAGATACAGTTGGCCATGATGAAAAAGAGCCTTCCCCTGGCAAAGACCCGGCCTGAGAGTGCACTTTCTTCTAAGATGTTTCTGTCTGTACGCCGCCTCACCTTGCAAGTAAGAGCGAGGGAGCCGCGGGGGAAGAGGCCCAACTCATCTCTCCTGAAGGCTCTTTCTTTCTTCTGCCCTTCCGCGCTGGGCCCAAGCCCACAGAGGCTGGGCTGGTGTAGGTGAAAGCCGGTGCATGGGGAAGGGTTTGCGGACAGTGCATTCTCTATTTCTTCTGCGCTTCCTTCTCCACACCTTATTGCTTTCCTGGAGCCCCTGCTGCAGTGCCACGAAGACTGGCTTCCCACTGTTTGGAGGCCGGTTCAGGAAAAGGGAGATACCTATGGCAGAGCGGCAGAGCTTTTTTTTTTTTCCTCACACCTCCAGACACCAGCATTGAGATACCCTGGGCGTTTGAGGAAAGCACAGTATAAGCCGAAGGCAGAAGCGACATGTGCTGATACTGCCATATCTCCAGGTACCATTCCCTTCACCCAGTCGGCCCATGCTGCTCCGACTTTAACTTGGTCAGAATTGAGTTATGTTTGTGTCCAGAGTCACTCAGGTGCATGTGTAGGATTCAAGACACTCCAGTTTCTTTTTTTCTGAGATAGTTTTGCTATAGGGCACTGGAGAGACAGAGACAAAATTCATCCCCCCAGGGGCATGATCATGTTGTAATCGCTTTTCCTCCATTCTCTTCTTGAGATTTTGGGCGTGCGTGCACATGCACCTGGCGTGAGGTTTAAGCTATCAGGTCTAGGACTGCAGTCGACTACGTGGTAGTCCAGCAACGTAACCATTACATCATCTGCTGGTTCCAAGGCTACTCCAGCTTCATAAGCAGTCTCCTGGTTTGGTTCTGACCAGAGAGGGTCACCACTGTGGAGCTGGACTCAGGCACAGCAGGCTCCGAGCAGGAGGGTGGGGCTGTCAGGGAGAAGGGGATTGAGCTGGCTCTCTGATCATCAGGTCACAGGAAACAGCAGCAGCCGCAGCAACAGAAGAAGGCGAGAAGACCTACAAAGAAACAGGTAGCATGGCAGGGAGCCCCTCGGCCTTGCCGGGGCAGGGGAGGTGGGTGTAGGCGGAATGGGGGGCTCGCCTGTCCTCTCTCTGGCTGCAGAGACACAGTTCCTGTCTGGGTGTAGATGTGAAGTTCCTTTTTCTAGGCTCCTTTTCAAATGTTTTCTTCCTTTCCAAAAGGCCTAATTCAGTCCCTCCTTATGTACATTTCAGGAAGCTAAAAAGAAAGCCAAGAGTGATCCTGGGAGCCAGAACCCTTCGCGCACACGTTCGGTTCCCGACACTTGTGACCCTGTCTGTGGTAAGGAAAATACGTGCTTAGTTGGGAGGGATAGAATCCCAGGACATAGCTGAGGGCAGAAGTCAAACAGACTTGACGTTTTGAGACCTGCCTTAGTCAGGTACTCAGAATTCTTGGAATGCTTCGGTCTGGCTGGTCTAGCAGGCATCATCCTTTCACCATGTATTTATTTACTGAGCAAGGACACGGGCCAGATGTCTGCTTTACATGGGGATTTGCGAGGTGACTGTGAACACAGCTAGTCATATTCGTGTTTTTGCCTAGGTTTTACTTAGAAAAGATGGGGTATTGGAGGGGTGGGAGGAAGAGCAGGCCTAGGTTACTGGCGAGAAGACCCCTGAGGGCCCACTGGCCAACCAGGCAGGGAAGAGTAGGGGTCCCTCCCAGAGTCCCAGAATAATTCTAAAGAAGCAGAGCTCCCACCTCTGCTCCCCACCCCCACCTCCCAGCTAGAGAGCCCCTGGAGGTCAGCTGGAGCTCAGCACGTTGTCTCGCCCTATCCAGGAGGTGGGGGGCCGATTCTTGACAGATGGTCCTTTTCCTCCAGTGTTCACGCTGGCGATGACCACGAATGATGACTCCCCTTTTTGGAGTCTTTATCATGTATGAGCTGAGGGATATGCTTAACCCCATCACTCCAACATTTTGAGTACAGGATGGGTGGGAAGGAGAATGCCTCCATTAAACTTCGCAAGATTCTGCCTACTTAGATTGGACCCTGTTGACCTCAATGCAAAAATAACTGTTTAATCATCAGAACTCAGACCAGCCCCATAACCTAGTGGCTAAGGGAGCCAAGTCTCACATGGCTGACCGCAGTTCAGATCCTGGCCCCAGAAACACACTGGGTGTGTAAGCATGCGAGTCCAGAATTCTGATAGGATGGAGGTATGGAGGAGAAGGGATTGGATTGCAGCATGACCACACCCCAGCCGGGGGATGCTTTCTCCCTCTCTCTCTCTGTGGTCTTTCTCTTCTCTCTGACAAGTGCCTGTACCCTCTGAAGATTATAAGTCAATCAACCATTAGAGCTCACTCTCCAGTCCTGGGGCTCTGGGGGGGCCCAGCTGAGGTGTGTCCTTAGGAGGATGCTATTCTCCTGCTTTACTTCTCATCCCACTGAGCTCTCTGATACCAATGACTTCCTCTAACCTGGGGGTGTCAGGAGGCTTCTGACCTTCACATGGGAGGTAGACAGCATCAGGACCATGACCCAGGGTGGGAGGTGACATGTGCAAGGCAAGCCCCCATCAGGGGTGAGCACCACCGCTCCTCTGAGTTCTGTCCCGATGCCTTCATGCCACTGCCTGCTGCCTCTGCTGGGAGCACTTCTACTTGGAGGACTGGTGTCCTGTGAGGTCGTGTTCCTAGGGCAGTGGCTTGTCTTGAAGAGTTGAGAAAGGCCTAAGGAAAAAGATGATTTGGCTTTGGACCTCGAATGTATAAGTGAGTTTTCCTGACAGGGAAAATTCCCAGAAGTAGGCACAGCCTATGCAAAGAGCAGGCCTGGGTGGTAGGTAGGAGCTTGTGTAGACTACTGAGACCACTTGACCTTGACCTTTATTCTTTAGGTCAGTGGCACTCAAATTACACGCACAAACCAACTAGCAAGCTTTTAAACCCTGATAGGCCTTACCCAGACCTATTCCCTCAAAATTTCTGGCGTTGGGGCCAGGCCTCGGTGTTTTTTTGTTTTGTTTTTAAGTTTTTGTCATAGGATGCTTGTGCTTGCTGGAGAGAGACAGAAATCACCCCCTGGGGAGATGGCCACATCCTTCATTCTCCTCTTGGGATTTCAGGCATGTGTGCACATGTCCTTGACATGATTTTCAAGTTACTGGGTCTAGGACTGAAGCTGCAGTCAGCCATGTGGGAGTTCAATGACTTAACCACCATGCCACCTACTAACCCTGGCCTGAATGTTTAAAGGTTCCCAGTGCTTCCAGGGTGCAGTGGAGAACCAGAGCTAGACAGGACCTAACTTAAGTGTCATCTTTTGGCATCTTGGAAGATGTTTAGAGGAAGGGAGATTGAGAAAGGAAAGAAGAAATGTGTTTTGGGATTTGGAAAAGCAGCCGGTGCAAAAGATACATGCAACTGGAACTTTCTTGTTGGTTTGTCTTTCAGAAGCCAGCGTGAATACAGTAGGGATGGCACAAGAAGGCGAGCCACATTCTGGTAAGAGGAGTACTCATAAGCTGAAAGGCAGAGCTGGGGTTTCTTTTGCTGCTGTGATGTGCAGGTACCCAGCCCTTAGGTGTCCTGGACGGATCCTGGGTCTTTTTTTTAATAATAATTTTTAAATTTAACTTTATTATTATTTTCCAGTTTGATCAGAGAAAGACAGAGAAAGAGAGACAGACACACACACACACACACACAAAGAGAGAGAGAGAAAGAGAAAGAGAGTGGGAAAATGAGAAAGCAAGCCACCAAGTCCAGGACTCAAACCACAGGTGGCCACATGGGAGTCCAGCGCCTTTAACCGTCATGCCACCTGCTAGCCCCAAGAATCCTGGGTCTTTTACCTTAATCTCTAATTCCGTAATAGGTGTGGTCACAGTCCTAGGGGAACAGAAGCACAGGTAGAGCTCGTGGGGCCCAGCTCCCTTTTACGGGTCACAGGTCTGTTCTTGTCCTAGATGGACAGTCCCTCGTAGACTGGGGATCGACTGCAGGCCCAGCAATAGAATATAAAGTTCCAGTAAGAAGAGGATTTAACTGACTTTGTGGTCATAGGTCACGGGACTTCACCAGGGCAGGAGAGTGACATGAAGCAGCAGCACGTGTGGATAGAAGAAGCTGGCTTGGAGAAGGTGAGGTGTTCCGGGGCCTCTACAAGAGTCCAGTGTCAGTCATTTATTACCATAACAGGCCACCCCAAAGTGTAAGCCATAGTGATTTATTATTTCTAATGATTCTGTAGGTTGGCTGGACAGCTATTCTGATCTTCCTTGAGGTCAGGCAGCACAGCTGGGCTGGGACCATTGGCCAGGTTGCCTTGGTTGTCTTCCAGGAGCCTCTCTACGTGGCTAGATTGGGCTTCTTTTTTTTTTTTTGGAGAGATTTTCACTGTAGGGCGCGTACGCTCGCCAGACAGAAAGAGAGAGACATAGAGACAGAAAGCGAGAAATCACCCCCCAGGGGGGATGGTCACGCCGCAATCCCTTCTCCTCCATTCTCCTCTCGGGATCTTGGGCATGCACGCACACGTGCCCGGCATGAGTTTTAAGCCACCGGGTCCGGGACGTGAACCGTGGTCGACTACGTGGGAGTCCAGCGACATAGCCATTACGCTAACTGCTGGTTCCCTAGATTGAGCTTCTTGACAGCACATGAGTCCTGTGCAGACTGTCTCTGAGGGGGTGGGCCTGAACTGAAACAGTGCCACTTCTGGCTACAGCTTATTGGTCAAAGAAGGAACAAGTCCAGCCCAGATTCAGAGCATAGAAATAGACTCCAGTTCGCTCTTTAAAAAAAAAAAAAAGTGTTTTCACTTAAATTTACTTAACTTAATCCTTCCATTAGTGAGAAATAGACAGAAAGGCACTCCCGACAGGGTCTTCACTCTACAGCTTATCTCCAGTATCAGCTGGCTTAGGTCACAGGTGTACGTGTGTCCAAGGAGGTCCCGGGATGCAAACCCAGGACCTTTCCTGTGAGATCCATTACTTCTGTGCTGCCGCCTGGCCTTGATTCCATCTCTTAATGGGAGGAAGAGCATTTGTTTATAGGAGTGGGGGCGGGGGGGTTGTGGGCAGCCATCTTTGCAGGCGATCGCCCTGAACTGACTGCTGGGAGTGAGGTACGTGGCTCTGGTTCCATCTGGACAGCCTGGAAGGCAAATGATGTGTGATACGTGGTTCTCTGGTCCCAGGAAGCAGTTCTTTGTCCCGTCTGAGATGATAATTTCCCCAGGGAGAGCATCTTTTAGAAAAATCCTTTTAGTTTTCTAAAATCTTAATTCACATTTCCTTACATGTAATCCCAACGAGTTTTAGGATTCCACAGAGACACTGGACATGGACTACTCTGAGGACTTCCTGGATTTCTTTTCCAGTATGGAAAGTGAGTAATTAGGGTGGAAGGAACCTTAGTAACTGATGATAGGGATTTCTGAGCCTGTGTTGACCAGGATGGTTTACCTCCCTGAAGGGTACAGTCCTCCTTCAGAGAGATCCCAAAGACACCCCAGCCTTTTCTGTCCTGTTTTGTCACAGTTAGTTAAGGGAAGGCCACAAATGCAATTAATGACTGGGTCTTCTTCTAGGTATTGAGTTACTCCAGACGGAATCCGCTGATGAGGACATTAGTGCTCTAGTGAAGACTGTGCTAGAAGACCAGGATGTCTGCCTAGAGGAGAACCTTCTTGAAAATATGGCTGGAACAAGCTGGAACCCTGAGCTCAAACTACTGAGGATTCTTCAGGACACTGATGACAAGGAAGAGGAGAACCAACCCCCTGGTGATGAGTCTCTGGAGGCATAGCCTGAAGGCATCGCCAGGGCAGCCTTATTCCCAACTGGGCCTCCTGAGGTCAACGGCCTTCTACACAAGGATGGAAAGGAGACTGACGTCTGCTCTCCGGATCCTTGACCAAGGCATGGGCTTAGAGATTCCTCTTTGTTCACATCTTCTTGCTTATGAAATAAGTGAGGAAGAAAAAACCTTGCCTCTTTTAAACAGATTATTTCTCTTCCATTGGGGTGAGAATAATTGTAAGTGATTAAACACAACTGCTTCTCAATGAAAAGACTCATTCTCTGTTTCTGGGAGGAGGGGAAAGCTGTTTGTGTTTTCACTTAAATTTACTTAACTTAATCCTTCCATTAGTGAGAAATAGACAGAAAGGCACTCCCGACAGGGTCTTCACTCTACAGCTTATCTCCAGTATCAGCTGGCTTAGGTCACAGGTGTACGTGTGTCCAAGGAGGTCCCGGGATGCAAACCCAGGACCTTTCCTGTGAGATCCATTACTTCTGTGCTGCCGCCTGGCCTTGATTCCATCTCTTAATGGGAGGAAGAGCATTTGTTTATAGGAGTGGGGGCGGGGGGGTTGTGGGCAGCCATCTTTGCAGGCGATCGCCCTGAACTGACTGCTGGGAGTGAGGTACGTGGCTCTGGTTCCATCTGGACAGCCTGGAAGGCAAATGATGTGTGATACGTGGTTCTCTGGTCCCAGGAAGCAGTTCTTTGTCCCGTCTGAGATGATAATTTCCCCAGGGAGAGCATCTTTTAGAAAAATCCTTTTAGTTTTCTAAAATCTTAATTCACATTTCCTTACATGTAATCCCAACGAGTTTTAGGATTCCACAGAGACACTGGACATGGACTACTCTGAGGACTTCCTGGATTTCTTTTCCAGTATGGAAAGTGAGTAATTAGGGTGGAAGGAACCTTAGTAACTGATGATAGGGATTTCTGAGCCTGTGTTGACCAGGATGGTTTACCTCCCTGAAGGGTACAGTCCTCCTTCAGAGAGATCCCAAAGACACCCCAGCCTTTTCTGTCCTGTTTTGTCACAGTTAGTTAAGGGAAGGCCACAAATGCAATTAATGACTGGGTCTTCTTCTAGGTATTGAGTTACTCCAGACGGAATCCGCTGATGAGGACATTAGTGCTCTAGTGAAGACTGTGCTAGAAGACCAGGATGTCTGCCTAGAGGAGAACCTTCTTGAAAATATGGCTGGAACAAGCTGGAACCCTGAGCTCAAACTACTGAGGATTCTTCAGGACACTGATGACAAGGAAGAGGAGAACCAACCCCCTGGTGATGAGTCTCTGGAGGCATAGCCTGAAGGCATCGCCAGGGCAGCCTTATTCCCAACTGGGCCTCCTGAGGTCAACGGCCTTCTACACAAGGATGGAAAGGAGACTGACGTCTGCTCTCCGGATCCTTGACCAGGGCCTGGGCTTAGAGATTCCTCTTTGTTCACATCTTCTTGCTTATGAAATAAGTGAGGAAGAAAAAACCTTGCCTCTTTTAAACAGATTATTTCTCTTCCATTGGGGTGAGAATAATTGTAAGTGATTAAACACAACTGCTTCTCAATGAAAAGACTCATTCTCTGTTTCTGGGAGGAGGGGAAAGCTGTTTCTTGCTATCTCATTTCTGGGTCACTCTATCTCCTTGCAGAAGTGCTGAAAGGTTTCTAGTTGTGGGAAGCTGAATTTGGCCTGCGGGAACCTCCATGGTGTTTTTAGAATTTCCTTTCATGCCCTGAAATGGTTTCATTCGGAGATGGGATCCACCTCATTATCAGATAATGATACCAGGTTCCCAGGCATGTGGAACTGCATTTAAAGCTCCAGTTTCTAAGCTTTTTGGAAAAAAAAAAAAAAAAAAAAAACCAGTGCTAGGGCAGGCAGATGGCATAGTGGTTAAGGTGCTGGACTCCCACATGGCTGACTGTGGTTCGAATCCTGGACCTGATGGCTTGAAAATCACTGAGTGCGTGTGCATGCATCTTCAAAATCCCAGGAGGTGAATGGAGGGTAAGGAATTGCAGCATGGCCATCCCCCTGGGGGTGATTTCTCACTTTCTCTCTCACCATCTCTGGTGAGTACACATGCCCTATAACAAAACCAAAACAAACAAACAAAAAAACCCTGTACTCACCAGAGAGACAGACAGAGAATGAAGGAGAAAGCACCCGCCATAGTGGGGTGTGGTCATGTCACTATCCCTTCTCCAACATTCTGTTGGATTTGGGACACCATACAGACTCTGGCACCAGAATTTGAGCTGTGATCAGCTGTATGGGCTGCAGCCCCCTTAATCACTAGACTGTGGGGGCAGTCCTAAAACTCCAGTCTTATCCCCTTGCCTCCCTTTCCCTCCCCTCTTCTTTCTTCTCTTTTTGCTAGAGGGTACTTGGGCTCATCAGAGAGAAACAGAGACAGCAAGAGAGAGTGAAAGTGAGAAAGTACCCCCCCACCCCCCGCCCCAGGGGAATGGTCATAGCACAATCCTTCCTCCTTCATTTCTCCCTGCTGTCAGGACTTTGGGAATGTACATGTCTAGCGTGTTTCTCAAGCCACCAGGCTGGGGACTTACATCATGCAGTTGGCTGTGCGGGATCCAGTCACCTTAACCACCACGCCGTGGGCTGGCCCCAGGATTTTTTTTAAGGAGAAACTTTTCCTTCATCAGTGATTTACTTCTCTAAGTACAGTTTGTACAAGAAAGACAGATTAAATGTCCAATTCCTTCTTAACATTGTCTCGAAACAGACCAAATTAGAAGGCTACATCTGCTGCCTATGTGTGCCTCCTCTTTTCCAAGCCAAATCAAAATTATATGACGTACTCTGTGTTACTAGACTGAACTATACTTAGCAGAACCTTCATGGGGAGAGGAATCTAAGAGGTGTTACGTGGGCTGTTTCCCTGAAAGCAATTATCTCTTGAAAATGCATTACATTGCAGAATGACTTCTGTGGGCTGACTTTGACAATTTTACAACTTTTCCCACTTCTCCTTCACCAACCCTCAGACCTATCTATTGGAACAAACCCCATTTATTTCTTCTTTTTAAAAAATACTTATTGGATTTTATTATTATTAATAATTATTTAAATTTGCTATAGGACACATACACACAAGCAAGCCACCAGGTCAGGGACTCGAATCGTGATCGGCCATGTGGGAGTCCAGTGCCTTACCCACCATGCCATCTGCCAGCCCCAAACCCAATTTCTAATGTCAGAAGTTGGAGTCAGAATGGGATAGGGCATATCTTTCATTTACTCATTTCATCTGATGCTTCAGGGAAGTCCCCACTATTTTTTAACTAATTCGATTATTTTATTTACTTGGTGAAGCAACTCTCAGAGATTGGTTGGGAAGTACAAAGGTACCTTTTGTATTTTGACCTATGTGAGAGGGAGGGTATTTACTATCTGCACCCTGATCTTTGCATCTATTTCCAAAGGGAGAAAAAGCCTTCACAGGCTGAAATTTTGTCATGCAAATTCCTCAAAGTTGGAAAATGACAAGCAGAACTTGAAATCTAATCCACATACCACATTAGTTTTCAAGGTGCTTTTCACACCCGCTATTTCGATTGATTCTCTGGCCAACTCTTTAGATGTGGATTGTCTCCTTTATATATATTAAGCTCTGAATACAGGGCATTGATGATAGCAATTTGGGGCTCTGGAGTGTATTAGAAAAATGGCACCCCTTAAATACTTTACTGCTGGGACCAGCAGATGGCATAGGGTTATGTCCCTGGACACCCAATGACTATCCAGGGTTGGAGTCCTGGATGCAGTGGCTTGAAAAAGCATGCAGAGCACCGTGAGTGAGTGCATGTGTGCGTGTGTGTGTGCGCATGTGTGCACGTGCCCAAGATCCCAGGGGGAGAAGGGATTGCAGCACAACCATCCCCTCTGGTGGTGGTGATGGGGTTTCTCACTTCCTCTCACTGTCTGTCTCTCTCTGGCAAGTGTGTATGCTTTATCGCAAAAATCTCCAAAATAAAAAACGGTCCTTTACTGCAATCTGTTGAAAAGTTATGTCAGTAAACATACACATCTCTGAGATTACCATGTGAGCAGCACCCCAAGGTTGGTTCATAACCTTCATAACATACCTGGTGGCCCTGCTAGAGAGGTTAAATAATTTGCCCAAAGTCAAAGGTCAGCAAGGGAAGGGAGGCTAGGCTTAGAACCTGGATCCTCTCTCTCCACCCACTGTATCCTGCTGTCCCTCTGACTCCCTCTCTCTAATGCACAGCTGAGACTGGACCAGCCTTGGTCACAAAGGAAGGATGAGGCCATGTGGAAAAGAAAGGACTGAGGGGAAGGAGCCTTCCTGAACCCTTCACTTGAGCCTCCCAACGTTCTGAGAGAGGAGCCAGGTAACTGCTGCTAACTGCCGTTCCCCACCTCCAGGCCTCCAGAGGCAAGAGCCGGTTGTAATAATTGGTAATAGCCAGCATCGATGTGAGATCAGCTTCATGTGTTTAAGCCATCAAGATGACTTGACATTTAGCTTCTTGGGGTGTTGTCCTAGGAGGCTTTATATTCTCAAGAGTTCCAAGAAACCTGTCCTTATTTATTGATTTTTTTTGTTGTCATTCTTTGCTACTTTTAGGGCAATCCCTGCTAGAGACAGGCCACTTGACTTAGGTCACCATGATTTTCTGAACACACTCCCCAGTGACCCCTGGCCCAGACTGACCTGTCTGTAAAAGCCGTCAGTGAGAGCCTTTTCAGACATCCTAAGTCTACATGCTTCTCCTCTCAGAACCAGCCATGTTTTGGGTTGGTGTTGGTCCTGGCCCATGGGTAACAGACTATGTGGTATTTTTTTCTTTTTTCTTTTGAGAGGTTTTTGCTATAGGGTACATGCTCTAGCCAGAAAGACAGAGGAACAGAAAGTGAGAAGTCACCCCCCACCCCACCCCGGGGGAATGGCTACACTGCAATTCTTTCTTCTCTAGTCATCTCTCGGGATTGGGGGCATGCACGCATAGGTACCTGGCATGAGTTTTAAGCCACCGGGTCCAGGACTTGAACTGTGGTTTACTATGTGGAAGACCAGTGATGTAACCATTATGTGATATGTTGGTCCCTTTTCATGGTTTTCAAATTATGCAAATCTCCTTGGGATTGGTGGGAGGGAGTTGGGGTCTTATTCATGACACAGTGACCCTTAAAAAGTTCATTTTTCCCCCAAAGAATTCCTTACTAAATTAAGCACAGACATACTTCTGGCCTTTAGATCGAAATGATTAGAGGCCCTTTGGAGTCCAGTGGAATCTGAGAAAGAATTTCTAAATTTTCTCTCTCAGTTGTCATAAAGTACAAGGGTGTGAAATTAATTTACCTTTTTGTTTATGCACTTATTAACAAATATTTATTGGGTACTCATTATGTATCAGAGAATCAGCCCTTAGATTACCCTGATAGAGAAAGGGAAAGTTCTGGGGAAATGGTGGAGGTTCATTTCCAGGAATGTAACTACAGGGACAGTTTCCTGGATCCGTCGGTAAAATTGTCTGGCACCACTAGGTGGCGATGTTACATTATGAAAATGGCACCCTTCCTTCACGCCCAGTGGTTCTCTTAGGCCAGCGTCTACATAGCAGAAACTCCCCTGTGAGTAAATGAACTAAAAGGAGCGCCTTCTATTTCCATATGTGACGTCCAGTTTAAATGCTTATGGGGACCAGCAGCTCCTGAGGAGATGGAGCTATGTCTGTCGTCATCAGAGTCACAACTCCAAAGTTACAGCCCTGGCATACAGGAAACACACAGTAAATACTCGACAAATGAGTTCGTCTCTGAACAATTTCGATTCTCATTGAAAAAAAAAGTTTTTTTTTAAGAGCATAGCAACTTCTGGGATATGCCCAGAGGTCTAGGATTTTGGGAAGTTGGGGGAGGGGCTACTGATGATCCTGATAGCTATATTATAGTTGGGCAGAGACTAAGGGACGTGATATTTAGAAAGGAAGAAATATGCCCAAAGCATTCTGAAGCACTTAGACTGCTTGCACCCCCATGTTAATCTTCTATCATTATTATTGCCAGAGGGCACACAAGCTTGCCAGGGAGAGAGAGAGAGGGCACACAAGCTTGCCAGAGAGAGAAAGAGAGAGGGAGAGAGAGAGAAAGAGCGAGAGAGAGAAAGAACTATCTGGTAAGGCACATCACACAGCAACCCCTTTCCCCCATTCCCCTTCCCATAAGGATCTTGGGCACACACATGCATATGTGCCCGACGTATTTTTTAAGCTACCAGGACTGAGATTGAAACCATGGTTGGCAGGGCCAGCAGATGGTGTAGCAGTTACATCACTGGACTCCCACATGGCTGGCTGCAGTTCGAGTTCCGGACCTGGTGACTTGAAACCCACACCAGACATGTGTGCATGTGTGTCCAAAATCCTGGGAGGAGATTGGAAGAGAAGAGATTGCAACGTGGCCATCCCCGGGGAGGTGATTTCTCACTTTCCCTCTCACTATTTTGTCTCTCTCTCTCCCCCTGGCAAATGCACATGCCCTAAGGCAAAAACCTCTACCCTCCCACCCCCAAAAAAAAGAAAAAAAAAAAAGAGAAAAATGCAAACCGTGGTTGGCCAGCCATGTGGGATCTAACTTTACAACATTTTTTAAAAGAATGATTTAATTTAATTTAATTTATTTATTTTAATTTGGCCAGAGAGGGACGGGGTGTAGGGGGGGGAGTGAAAGAGCAAGCCACCAGGTCTGGGACTTGAACTGTGGTTGACCATGTGGGAATCCAGTGCTCTTAATTACCATGCCACCTGTCGGCTCCTTAACTTCACAACTTTTAAGCATGGCACTAAAGGGTTTGCATATATCTTTCTTTTTTTAAAATAAAGTTTATTTATTCCATGAGTAAGAGAGTGAGATACACACACACACAGATACAGCACCCCTGATGGGGTAATCCACCTATGCTGTGATCTACTTCCAGCTTCAGCCAATGAGGATCATGGGCTTAGTGCACCTGATGTATTCAGGGGCATCTCTGGACTTGAACTGGCAGTCCTCCCGTGTAGATTTGCCTTGCAGAGTGTTGATTTTACTGCTGCACCACTGTCCTGTCCTCTTTCTGTTTATCTGGAGCAGATTTCACCTGTTTAAAAATATAGAGAGGGTGAAAACTAATCCATTCTTTTTTTCTTGAGTCTCCCTTACACCTAAGGCTAGCTCTGCCTTAGAAGAGAGCTCTGAAAGTCATGTATTCTAGTCTTCTCTGCCTCCCACCCCCTGGCACATTCGCTCATGTGGTCATTTATTTGTTACAAGTTCTTCATTCCACAAATGTCTATGAACACCTACTTTGTGCAAAGCACTGGTCTAGACTAAGTGATCAGCTCTGACCTTTCTTCTCATCCCTTTGAGTTTAGGTCACCGCCAAAGCCTTTTAGTTACAGCATCCAAATCCATGCCTTTCTCTGTTCCTTCTGCTGCTACCCTAGTCCAGGCGTCCATCTTCCTCTACCGGGTTACTGTATTGCCCTTGATCTTTACTGTCCTCACGCGTCGTCTCATCTTCCCAACACGCAAATGTGATCACGATACACCCTTCCTTAAAACACTTCCCTGCCCTGGGACCAGCAGTTAGCGTAATGGCTATGTCACGGGACTCCCATGTAGTCGACTGCGGTTCAAGTCCCGGACCCGATGGCTTAAACTCACACCGGGCGTGTGTGCGTGCGTGCCCAAGGTCCTGAGAGGAGAATGGAGGAGAAAGGATTGTGGATTTCTCACATTCTGTCTCTCTGTCTCTCTCTGTATGTCTGGTGAGCGCACGCGCCCTATAGCACAAAAACCTCTCCAAGAGATTGTGGCATGACTCTCTTTCTGCCTGCTGCTTCCTATTCACTCTTTAGCTTTTTCTGACCACCATCAAGGTGAGTTTCTCGCTTTTGCATCTCCTCTTACAGCCCCCGGTGGGGTTCGTGGCGTGTGTTGCGGCTTTCCACTGCCAGACTATGAGCTCTGTGAGTGGCGGGGTCCTGTCTGTCTTCACCCCGTGTCTCCAGCACTTAGCTGGGAGCCTGGCACGCTGTGAAGGCGCAGTGATGTTGTAATACGCTGAAAGAGGGAATGAATGAAAAACACAAGAGCTGTGTCTTTTTTTAGGGTAGTTATAACCTAGCAGTGTGAGATAAGGGACACAAAGAACTGGAGTGACGATGAGAAGGAAGGGTCATTTTGGGGAACCAGCAGTTAGCGTAATGGCTATGTCGCTGGACTCCCATGTAGTCGACCGCGGTTTGCGTCCCAGACCCGGTGGCTTAGAACTCACGCCAGGCGCGTGTGCATGCGTGCCCAAGATCCAGAGAGGAGAATGGAGGAGAAGGGATTGCAGCGTGACCATCCCCCCTGGGGGGTGATTTCTCGCTTTCTGTCTCTCTGTCTCTCTCTGT